AGGAATGAAACTGGAAAAGACTTCAAGCATTAAAGGCTCACCATTAAAAATTACCTTACAAAGAGAGTACTGTGATAAACATCAGATTAAAGGTGTTGCTTTTCCCACCCAAGCTGACTTTCAGATGACCCCAAAGTAGCCACCAGGAAGTTGACAAGGAGACTTGGAGGTGCAGAAGAAAAAAAAATAATAATAACAGATTGGACAACTAAGTCGAGGAAAGAACTTTAACCGTGGTTAATGGATTACTGGCATAAGAAATCGATTGGAAGCAAACACAGCCAAAGGCTATTTTTGGAGAAACTGAATTGCCAAAAGTCCATGAACCTTGCCTGATAATGTCTTTGACTCTCAAAGCTTAAAACCACACTCAGTCTCCCAAACTTGCACAAGCAGGAATTGGGCTGGTCCTGAAAGCCACGCTGTCCCAAGGCAGACTCAACCCCAGGACTCACTTCAAACATGGCCAGGGAACAGTTAAGGAATAATCTCCCAGAGGTACACCCTAAAAGCAACAGAAAGAGATGAGACATCAGGGTGGGGGAGAATGTAACTAGATAAGGGAAGAGCGTCAAGGAACCTTTCAGAGATTGTCTAATATCCAGAGCTCCAGCAGGAGATGATGGGGTGAGCCAATGAGACTGAGAAGCAGCAGCCAGCGAGGGAGGGGAAACCAGAAGTGTTTCCAAAAGGAGCAAGTCAGTTATGTAGAAAGCTGTTGGGAGATCAAGCAAGATAAAGCCAGCTGTGATATTGTGAAATATATATTTGGTCTTCATCCCTGTCTCTTGGCGTACAACTCCTAAAATCCTTGAAAGCTTCAAAGTGATTTTATGCTGAAAGTGCCTTTTCATATGTGAATGAGTTTACTGGGGGTTGGCAGCCCATAGGCAGCTTCAGGATGGGGGCTGGTTGCTGGAAAGACCAAGGCAGGATTAGAGGGTTGGCACTTTCACCCCCACCCCGCAACATCCAGGAAGGGGAGAGGGGCCGAAGGTTGAGTTGATCTCCAATGGCCAGTAACTTAATCAATCATGCCTACAAAATGAAGCTTCCATAAGAACCCAAAAGGACAGGGTTCAGAGAGCTTCCACACAGCTGCATCCCTGGAAGTTCCTGGAGAGTGGCACACCCAGGGAGGGCATGGAAGTGCCAAGCCCCTTCCCGTACCTCGCCCTACATACCTCTTCAACTGTATCCTTTGTAATATCCTTTATAGTAAATAGGTAAATGTGGATGTTTCCCTGAGTTCAGTGAACCACTCTAGCATATTAATCAAACCCAATGAGGAGGTTGTGGGAACCCTGATATATAGCCGGTCATCAGAAGCACGGGTCGAACAACCTGGGGCTTGCGATTGGCATTGGACGTGGAAAGCACTTTTGTGGGACTGAACCCTTAACCTGTGGGATCTGATGCTATCTCCAGGTAGGTAGTGTTGGAACTGAATTGACTTAGAGGGCACCCAGCTGGTGTCAGCTGCTGGAGGAGTGCTTGCTTGGTGTGTGGGGAGAAGCCCCCTACATTAGGTGTCAGAAGCTGTGTGTGACTATGTTGTGAGAGGGTAGCAGGAAGAAACTGTATGTTAATCCTATATTTTCAGACCAGCAAAGAAGCCATTGCATTTTGCATGGTGGAACCACTAATGAACTTGAAAAGACAATTTTAAAGGAATAACAGAGATAAAACTCCAATTGGAAATTGTTGTAAGAAAAAGGAAGGAAGACAAGGTCTGCAGACAGCTCTCTAGAATTTTGCTCTTCCAAGGAAGAGAGCAATATGGGTGGAAGCTAAAGGGGGATGTGTGCTCAAGGAAAGGTTTGCTAAAATGGGAGGTGTTCTATGCTGATGTGAATAATCAGGAGGAGAGGGGGAAACAGATATAGCAAAGAGAAGACAAGCACAGGAGCCAAGAGCTTGGAAAGACTGAGAGGATATGATCCAGAGCACAAGAGGAGTAGCTGACTTTAAGAGGAGGACAGACACATAGTCCATTAGAAACCGGAAGCCCACGTCACTCTGGGTCTCATTTTACCAGACTTGTCAGTGGCTGGGATGAAAGATGGGCCCTGTCTCCTGAAGGCAGGCAGAGAACCAGGAAGGAAGGCATGACATGGGAGACCCATGCTGCTGCCTGTGAACCGGGTGATCTAATGTTATGCTGTTCTTGGTGTAACCAAACTGGAGGTTCAGTCGCTTGCCACTTACAGAGTTCAACAAGAGGTCTGGTATAAAGACACTGATTTCATTCCAAAGTTTAGCTTAGGGGAGGAAGTCCAGGCTTCTGCATTTAAGGCTAGCACTTCACTTTGGGGGCAGAAAGTCGGGGCTTTTAAAGGGGGACTTGGTATGTACAGCGTACAGGGGAGGGAGTGAGTAGGTGTGGGGTCTACATGGTTTGTGCGTTATCTACCAGGTGGTTGGGCTGGTGCCATCATGGGCAGAGCTAGGTTACAAAGTGGCCATGATCTTGAGATACTCTTCAGGTGGGAAAGAGTTTTGTAGTGGGCACACTTCAGGTTGTAAATTCAGGTTGTAAATTGACTGCTGTCTCTCGACGCAAGCTCCTGGTAGGAGAGAGCTGGGCTCTGGAGCTGCTAAGTAAGCACACAATCAGATAAGTTTGCCCAGCAGGGAGTGTGTGGTGAAGGGAAGGTCAAGGTTATAATCATTTCTAAAGAGCTAAGTAGGAAGCAGGGAACAGGAGAAAGGAGAAAAGAGAAAAGCAAATAATCATAATTGTAAAAAATTAACTTTTTTTCTCTTAGAAACATGGGGGTAGTCAGTTTCATTGGTGCTTGTTTTCTTTTGCCATCCTTGAGACTTCAGAGAAATCTAATTTAAACGTCTCAGGCTGGTCTCAGCTGTGCCAGAGAATTCAGGAAAAGAATTCAGCTGGTCTCAGCTGTAGAGAATTCAGGAAAAGGTCAAGTACCCATGCTTGGGATGGCGGTGAAGGAGGAATGGTCATCGGCAGATTTCCGAGAGTAAGGTGAGTATCCCTCAAGCTGAGCTGGTGGGGGCCAGTGTCCCCATCTCCCCCGCCATTTGTGACCCCTTCTTCCCAAATGGGGAGTTACTAGGGAAGATCTTTCCCTTACCTCGTCCATCAGAGGAGCCGTCATGATGCACTTCCTCTTTCTCTCCAGCTCGTGTCAGTAGAAGCTCACTCTATGCTGAAGGCCACACTGATCGGCGTGGAGGGGAACACAAAGTGAAATCTGCTGCTTTAAAAAGCGCTGACAGGTGATAGGAAGCCAGGGGATGTGTTTCTCTGAGGATCTTGATAGTTGGCTCTATAGTACAGTCCTAGAATCCTAGAAGTTTCGGGTTGGAGGGGTTTTCCAAACCATTTAGTTGCATCCATTTGAGATGGCTGGAGGCGCCCAGAGGCAAGGAGAGTGACAAGATGGCCTGTCCTAAGATCGCTTCCAGTCAAATCATCTGTGGATCCAGAGTCCAGAGATTGGCTGGTCAACCGGTTCTTAGAGTCGGAAGTGGGGTGTGGAGGGTTTAGGACAGGCGCCAGGCTCACTCACTGCAGTAAAAGGGCAGTTCCACAGAAAACCAAACACTGCATGTTCTCACTTATAAGTGGGAGCTGAACAATAAGAACACATGGACACGTGGAGGGGAACAACAAACACTAGGGTCTGTGTTGGTTAGGGGGTGAAAGGGAGAGCATCAGGAAGAATAGCTAATGAATGCTGGGCTTAATAACTAGGTGATGGGATGATCTGTGCAGCAAACCACCATGGCACATATTTGCCTGTGTAACAAACCTGCACATCCTGCATGTGTACCCTTGAACTTAAAAGCTGAAGACAAAAAAAAATAAAATAAAAAAAAATTGAAAAGGGCAGTTGGATTTAAAGGCAGGAGCTGACTTCAGCGACCCTCCATTATGGGTTTTTAGGCTCTTGGAAGGTTCAGGACCTCAGGAAGTAAGAGTTTGTCCCATTGCACTGCAGCCTCTGTCACGTCCCAGGGTCTCAGTGACCCAGCCCTAGGGGCACTCTGGGCTCCTTCTGCAAACCATTCGAGGACTGCTTGCTCCTTTCCCAGTCACAAAGCTTTCGAGGAGCTGAATTCCAGCTGAGTTTGATCTTACCTCAATACAAGAGGAGGCCTCGCCTATCCCTGGGGCTGGGGCTGACTGACAACAGCTTCCCATTCACTTTTCAGGGATGGGAGGAGTTGCCTTTGATATGGCCAGCTGGTGGACGGGAGAAGAACAGTCCAGAAAGAAATATTGAGTCAGGAGGACTTCTGGAAAGGCCCAGCTGAACACCGCCCCCCAACCCCAAGTAGTTTAAAGCATTTCTTCTCTGGCACAAATCTGGACCACATTCCCTCCTTACTCAGCCCTACCCTGACCTGGGATAGCAGGGGACCCAAAGGAACCAAGGCAGCTTGTTTGTTTGTTTGTTTGTTTGTTTGTTTGTTTTGAGACGGAGTTTCGCTCTTGTTGCCTAGGCTGGAATGCAATGGCGCCATCTCGGCTCACCACAACCTCTGCCTCCCGGGTTCAAGCGATTGTCCTGCCGCAGCCTCCGGAGTAGCAGGGATTACAGGCGTGCACCACCACGCCCGACTAATTCATTTTATTTTTGTTTAGTAGAGATGGGGTTTCTCCATGTTTGTTAGGCTGGTCTCAAACTCCCGACTTCAGGTGATCCACCCGCCTCGGCCTCCCAAAGTGCTGGATTAAAGGTGTGAGCCATCGCGCCCGGCGAAAATAAAAGGCAGGGGCTTTTTTTGTTTTGTTTTTTTGAGACCGAGTCTCATTCTGTCGCCCACTCTGGAGTGCAGTGGCGCCATCTCGGCTCACTGCAAGCTCCGCCTCCCGGGTTCACGCCATTCTCCTGCCTCAGCCTCCGGAGTATCTGGGACTACAGGCGCCCGCCAGCACACCTGGCTAATTTTTTTTTTTTTTTTTTTTTTTTTTTGGTATTTTCAGCAGAGACGGGGTTTCACTGTGTTAGCCAGGACTGTCTCGATCTTCTGATCTCGTGATCCGCCTGCCTCGACCTCCCAAAGCGCTGGGATTACAGGCGTGAGCCACCGCGCCCTGCCCCAATGCAGCTTTTAAAGGGACGTGCAACCCCAGTTGCTTTCTGGGCGGCCTTAGCAGCAGAAGCACCTGCAGTCAGCGCCCACTAGGTGGAGACAGAGTCCCCGAGATTCCGGCAGCAGCTTCACTCACTCCGGAACGCCAGGCTCCTGGGTCCCGGCTCCGAGGGCTCCTGTTCTAGAAATAAACGTCCGGGACCCCAGCTCCCCTTCCAGACCAGCCAGAGTCTGTCCCCACTGATAACTCACGTTTATAGGGTCATGGTGTTTAGAAGGCTGGTTCACATCGTTCCTCTAGTCGGCTGCACACTCGTCCTGAGGATGGGTGGACCAGGTATTGCTGACCCCAGTCTTATGGTTGAGGAAGTGGAGCCGTCGGGAGCCTTTGAGATGCAGTGAAGGTCACGCGGTGCACAGCAGAGCTGGCCTCAAATCTAGGTCCCCTCGACTGAATCCCAGATTCGACCACATCTCAGCCGCCCCTCTTCTCTGGGGCGCATGGCAGCCACCAGGCTATTTGGCATCAGAGTGGAGCCTGGATGCAAGCTTGGTTCCTTGGGTCTGCATGCTGCACCCTGATGGGGCCCATCTGGTCTTCAGAGAGCTGCTGTGCCCCAAGGCCAAGGCCCAGCTCTGCCTCAGGGGATTTGAGGGCACTCAGAGATGCAGGCAAGGACAGCGGTGTGTTTATGGGCACTTCTGTACCCCAGAATGGGAGAACCGGCGGGGCTTGACCACACGGGAGTCCTCTCCCCAGACATCCCTGGGTGTGTGAGTGCTGGGGGGAAGTGGGGACTGGCGTCGAAGGTCTGACTTAGACCTGCTTGGTAAAGGCTGAGAATGAAGGAAAGCCTGTATTCCCAAAGTTGCCAGCAAATTCTGGACAAGCAGGTGAATGAGGCAGAAGAGCTGAGAGCAAAAAAGCAGTTTCAGTTCCACTTAGGGAATGGCTTCCTTTCTTGTGGCAAGGGGTAGAAGTTATGGGAACACACAACAGAAACTGTCAAACCTGGCTGGCTGGGGACAAGTGGGGTGGCCATCTCCTCCATGGACAGCATGCCTGAGACACCACCTACCAGCTATGGAGTCACAGCCTCAGTTTGCCCATCTGTAAAATGAGGCCAGCGCACGGCACCTCATCCCACAAGTGAAGGCTGAACGGCAGCATTCTGAGTGTGCTGTGAATAGCTGATTCCTCTGGTTGGTGAGCTGTTGTGTGTTGGGTGCTCCCACTCTGTCACAGAGTCAGAATAAGAGGAGCCCCGTTGGGTGCCGGGGTAGCTATGGCTGAAGCCAATGATTTCTCACGTCGTCTGGCCCTGGAGACTCAGTCAGGGTGGTGGGTAATGGGCCCGGTGCCAGGCTGCATCTCTGCACCCCGCCTCCCTAGGAAGACATGAGGGAACGGGTGCAGCCAGCCGGTGTACAGTTGGGAGCGGCTGAACGCAGCGTGGCTTTGCTATTAATGTAGTCAGTAAATAAATAAAGGAGGGCTTAAGCTTAGTGTACAGCAATCAGTTTAGAACTACAGGGTAATTAGCGCTGCAGGGGGCCGCAGGGCTGCAGAGTCAGGTTTAAATGAGCGAGTTCACTTTCACTGAGGCACCCCCTGGGGAGCAGAAAACGCAGCCTGGAGAGGAACCTGCCCTCCTGCCAGCCCACGAGTGGAAGTGGGGATGGCGGCGGGGCTGGGCCTGAAACCACACAGAGAGCTGGGGGATGGACCTGCCCCCATGGGCCAAGGACCAGGTGTCTACATGTGCACCCCCTCACCCCCTTTCCTGCCCCACATCCTGCCCAGCAACACCCAGGCAGCTCCCAACTATGAAGTGCCACTGCCCTGTTGCCTCCTGCTCCTTCTTCTGGCATGTGGCAGACACGGGTCAGTCAGGTGGTCTATGAATCGACATGAGCACACGTGTGGGGATGCAGGAGTCCCCCACTGGGCCTCTGCCGCGTGTGTACACGTGTCCTGGGGAGGTGCCCGAGTGCGCATGTGATGTTCCTCCATCCCTGCTTTCACTCGCCCCTGACAACTGCAACATGCGCCCTGGAGTGCTAATTACCTCTCTGTTTCCCTCCGTCTCCCTCTCCTTCTTTCAGCCATTTATACAACAAAGATTTACCAGGTGCCTGTCATGTGCCAGGCAGCGTGAGGCTCTGGGAACACAAAGATAGACAGCACACAGTTCCTGACCTCAAGGAACTGACAGTCTGGTCGTGGTGACAGTGAAGGAAACAGGTGACTAAATGGTGCTATAGAGACTCTGTGCCCAATTCAGCTTCTGGGGTCCAGGGAAGGTTTCCTGAGAAGGTTTGAGCTGAAAAGTGAATAAGGAGAAGTTGAGAGAGCCAGACAGAAAGGGTGTGTGTGTTCGTGCAGCTCTGAGAAGAGGAAACTGCACGCGCACAGGCCCACAGGGGCATGGAGCTCGGTGCGGCCCAGAACACCCGTGGTCCCATCGGCTGAAGCAGAGTAGGGGTTGGCCGAGGGGCTCAAGAGTGATCCTGAGACGAAGTTGGGGTACTGAGCAGGGGCTCTGTCACTGAGGGTGTCTTGGAACTTTGTTAAGGAGTTTGAATTCCATCCTCAGAGTACTGAGGAGTCACCGGGGACTCTCATCCAGGGAGCGACATGATACTATTTGCATTTCTGGAAAATCGCTCTGGGCGGCAAACAAAGCAGAGGATGGAAGCGAGAGAGAGGGCCTGGGCCGAGGCAGAGCACTGAGGTCAGTCATCTTCAGATCCCCAGTCCCCTCCCTTCCTGGTGCCAGGGCAGTGAGGGGCTCCCACGTGGGAAGGCCTGGCCGTGCTGAGTGGAGGGAGGCAGCCTTGGCCTTGGCTTCCCTTACGCCTCTTCTCATGGGCTGCAACTTGCTCGAGTCCTCAGCAAGCCTCTGCTGGCACCGGGCCTCCGCTCTCCACCTTGGGCAGGGGAGGAGTCCCTCAGAGCCACTGGGAGGAGAGCTGCTAAGGCTGACATGACCCAAACGCCTCCTTGAACGCAGCCAAGACGACGAGGCATGCAGGGAGCTCCTGCGTAAGGTCCCTGGAGAACACCCTACAGCCCCACAGTGGCATCTTCCCAGCCCCTGCCTCGGTGCCTGTCCCCTCTTCTGACCCCAGCAATGTGCCCTCCTGGCGGCGAGTGTGTTCTGGAGGAGGCTGCCCACAATTGCCAGGGCTGGGGCAGAGGGCAGCGGTGGCCGGGGCTGGCAGGGGGCGGCAGTGGGGCCGCCTGCCCCAGGCAGGGAGGAGAGGGGTTGAGTCAGGCCACGGAGGGAGCATTCTCAGGCTGGTCTGGCCAGGGCCCCTTTCTCTCCATGAGATCATATCTGGGTCAAAGAGCATGTAAAGCTGGCAGAGCCGGCGGTCACACAAAGCCCATTCAGCCCAGCCCCTATTCACTCACCTCCTCTCCCCAGCGCCCGCGCCGCCGCGACCCCAGCACAGCGCCTAAGCCCCAGCTTTGATGTCCAAGAACAGAAAACGGCGATTAAATGTTGTTTTAAAGAGGGAGTGCTCACTGCCCTCCCATCTGTCAAGAGAAAGCTGAGGCCTGAGGGAGGAGAGGGAAGCTGGGGGAGGGGCGAGGAGGCGTGTGTGTGTGTGTGTGTGTGTGTGTGTGTGTGTGTGTGTGTGTGTCGGGGAGTTGGAGCAGAGTGTAGGGGTGAGGAAATAGGCAGGGGCCCAAGAAAAGCTGGGATCAGGATGGCTTGGGGGAATGGAAGGGAAGCAACAGCTCAAAAAAAACATAGAATTTTGGTTAAGGACTGGTTTCTCACATGAGAAATATGTGGAGAGGGAAAATAAGGTGGGACAGAGAAACAAAAGCAAAAAGAAAGGAGAAAAGACAACAGATGAGGAAGAGAGGTGAGGAGTGGAAAGGAGAAAAAAGACTGGGAGAGAGGAAAAAGGTGAGGGGCAGGAGGGACGAAGAAAGCAGAGCAGGCGGCAAAGAGGGAGGGGAGAAAGCAAAGACAGAGAAGCAACTTTTAAGGGCTGGAGGCCCCCCGGTTGCACCTGTTCCTCCTCTTCGGACGATTGTCCAGGGATAAGGGTAGCTCCAGGTGGTTCTCTGCTCAGCAACCCCAGGGTCGGACAGACCCCGGCCTTGGGACCAGGAGAACAGAGCTGAAAGGTAACCCTCCCAGTGCCACCCCTGGCAGGCCGGGCCTTGTTTGGTTCCCCAGGCGGTGGTGGTGGCGCATGGGGTGATGGCTCCCCACAACTCCTGGTGATGCTGGAGGCCAGGCCTGACGCTTGGCATGGGTTTACCACACCGGCGGGACCCAGCACAAGAATCATGGCTGTGTCCCCTAGGTCTTGTGAGGAGAGGGGTTATTTTGGTCAGAGACAGACAGTGAGGATGGCCTCAGGCAGAGGTGCTGAAGCACCATGTCTAGGATTGAGTGACTTTGGTTTTACAGCTACAGATAGAGTGATGCTTCCATCCCCGATAAGAGGAACAGGGTGAGGGCCAGAGAAGAGGGCTTGGCCCAGACACTGGGAGATGAGACAGGGAGGGATCGTACCCATCGAGTGTTGCGGAAATCCTTTATTCTGTCCATGACAATGCGGAGCTTGCACGGCCCGCCTCCCACCCATCCCCTCCCCTGCACAAGGCCACCTGCTCCAATCTCCTTTCTTAACGGCTCTTGGCTGCTACAGACGCAGGCAGGGACCTTTGATTGTGTGGAAGCTTCTTGTTGAGAAATTTCTGAAGCTTGCTTAGCTGCTAAGGAGTCAGTTGAAAATGTCTCTCTAAAGACTAAGACGGGAGACTCCTGCTTTGGGAGCTCTGGAATAAAGGACCCTGACCTGGTGTCAGGAGAGGTGGATGGAGTTCTCACTGCTGCTCACCAGCCGTGCAATCCTGAGCAAGTTATCCTAACATAGCAACGGACTCCGACTCAGCTGCTTGCTAGCATGGTAGCCCCAGGGCGGCCAGGGTTTGTCTGTTTCGTCCCCTGCTGTAGTTCCCAGTGCCAACAACAGTAACTGGTACACGGTGGTCTTGCTGAATAAGTGAACGAGTGTCTACCTAGCACCCTGTACCAAGGATCATATGATAGTCATGTATTTAACAATTTTTTTAAGTAAAAAGTATTAGGAGAATGTTATTCAGTGTGTATGTACCTTGTAAATGTGGCATAAAAGTGACACATAGATAAGGCTAAATATGTGTAATACAGAACTTTCTTTTTCCCAGTCCCCACACAGAAATCTTAATTCCTCTACCGTGTTCCCCACACAAGAAAAGGCAAAAAGAAAAAAAAGACAAAAAAAACCAAGTACTTCAATAAAAAGGTGGGACGCTTCAAGCGAGAGACAACTGAATTAACTTTATTCTCTTCTAACTGCAGATTCAAGGTATACAACTGAACATTGCTATTTTTCTTATGAGACTTATAAATAAAAATACAAAAAATGTTCACTACAAAAAAATCTACTGTTAGTAGGATGTAAAAAATATTCTCTTTGCTATAGAAGGCACAAACTTCACTTAGTGACACATGGAGAGAGAAAAAAACCTGCAGCAGTAAATTCATTTTTTCTTATTTTTTTTTCCTTTTTTTTTTTTTAAATCTTGTCAGAAACACTGAAATTACAAAGAAACGCGTCAATCTACACGAAACGAAGGCAGATGCGGAAAGCTGCAACCAGGACTGCACAACTTTGAGTGAAACTGCTTCGGAACTAGAACAGATAAGGAGCGGCAAGCACAACTCGGGGAAGTGGGCTGGGGAGGGGCAGCAGGAGGCAGGAGAGAGGGAGAGAGAATGGAGCCGACAGAAATGAGAGGGGGAGCCAGAGGGAGGAGGGGAGGGCGGGAGGGGCAGACGGAGAGGGCAAGGGTGAGAGGTGGGGAGGAGAGAAAGAGAAAGAGATTGATTTGTACAAAAAAGTAACCAGTAAAATTGAAGAAACAAAATTGGGCAACCTCCTAAAATTAGGCTAAGAGGAGGTGCTGAGGTAGACATTAACTAGAACATCGATGAATTAAAAACACTATTATGTAATACAGAGCAATCCGACTGGCACTTGTGCTGTCACGACATAAGACAAGCCACGAAAACAAACAAATAACAAAACAAAACATAATACCCAAACCAAAAGGCTTAGTTTTGCTTGGTCCAGCAGGGCAGCAGGGCCCTCAGTGCTATAATTTACATACATATATATATATATTTATCTTTATTTATATGGGTCGGATGTCATGGTGCACCACCACGGTTTCTTAACCTTACGAAGATCATGCATAACACTATGTGAACAAATCCTATGATACACACCAGGAGGCTGGTACCCTGTCTGCGAAGTGGGATGCCAAGGGCCCAGGGAGGCCGCAGCTGCTGGCTAACCGGCCTGCAGGGCCTGCACCCCTCTTTCTCCCTGCCTTCTTCCCCCGACCCAACCTCTCTGGTTTGTCCTGCGCCCCTCTCCTGGCCATCTCTGCCTTTTTCCTCTCCCCATCCGTCCCACCACATAGGGTGAGTCTCGCTTTTCGTCCTCCCACTGAAATATCCAGGTAAGTGCCACCATTACAGCCAAGTCGGCAGAGGCTCCAGAAAGGAGGAGGTAAGATGGGAGGGGGAAAGATGACCACAGGATGGGCCTAGGAAAAGTGAATGGACAGAGTCTAATCTTCTGCTTTTCTGTCTCACATCCTGGTGCACCCCCAGTTTTCACCCTAGCTCGGCTTGCCGGGAAACAGGCCCCAAAATTACCCCGACCCTGCCACCCTTCATGGACAGAGTCGAAAGGCTGCCCCACCTCTGCTCACTCCTCTATAAGGAGGTAAGCTCAGCGGCCCTCTTCCGTCCACAGCGGTTGTACCAATAGCATCCAGAAAGGTACCATACACTTGTGAAAAATTGCAGCAGTTTTGTTTCTTTTTTTCTCAACATGGAAAAACTGTTCAGGCACAAAGATTAAACAAGCCCACGTTGCACCCCTTGGATTGTACTGAATCACTGGGTCCCCCAGCCTCCCTACCCACCCCTGCACCCCAGATCTGCCTTCCCCATATTCATGGCCTCCTCCTCCAAAGCAGCCCAAAGCAGCAATGATATTTACTATTTTATATCAATCTCTTGCTCTATATATATATCTATATATCTATATATTTGTCTATCCTATATATACATAGGATTTTAATGCTTTGAATGAGTGAAGGAGTGAACAGGGAAAGAGCACATGAGTGGGGTGTAAATGTCACCAAACGCATTAAGGGACACACTTGTAGGAGCTGGACACAGGAAAGGGACTATTAGCCAACGTGGCCTTGCCAGGCTGGAGAAGTTTTTCACTGTGCTGGATAAGGCAGTAGCAAGCAGGGTTGCCAGCAGTGCCACAGCTAAAGGCAGCCAGGTGGCCAAAGGAGTCAGACGGCGCCAAGAGGAGGGGAGGACAGATATTCAGATCCCACCTGGGGAGAGACCTCCCTCTACCCTTCTCCTCTCCCCTCAACTCCAGACACATATAAAGCCTCCAGACAGCCTCTTAGCTTGCCCCCGGCCACTAGGCCTTGCAACATTAGAACTGTTCCGTTGTTGTGGGTAGGAAGTTGGAGAAGAGGCATGTTAGACTCTATTCAGGTGTCTTCACGGGGAGAGGAGGGTACAGCAAATTCAGAGGTGTCCCCAAACAGTAGCCCTCAGAAACCACACTCCTCTGAGCTCTCCCCCTACCTCTCTACTGGGGTCTGCAGGGCCCATCGGGTTGGGCGGGGCGTCCGGGTGCTGATTTAGTACCATCCAATGCTGCAACACCAGATTACGACAATACTGCATGATTTAACACACAACCACACACACAAAGCACACACGCACACGCACACACATGTACAAAGGGATATTTTGGTGGTGGTGGACTTTTTTTTGTCTTTTGTCTTCCTATTCACATTACAAAAGGAAAGGGCAAGGTTCTGCAGAACTGACGAAGGAACTAACAGATACTACAAAAATATTACAATTTGTAAAGATTAGCTCAACCCTCTCAGCTTTTATGAATGGAGGGGGGAGGGGCCCAGGCTGAGTGGGAAGGGCAAGGGAGTGAGGGGGTAAGCTAGTTCTATGGAATAGTTTGATTTTTTCTCTTCCTTCCCCACCAATGTTGAATGACATCTTGCTGTTAAAAATACTGTTTTCTGGGATTTACAGATCCCCTGAGGGCCAGCCAGTCCCTGCTTCTTCCCAGACCAGAGGAGGAAGCCATAGTGCATACTGATTTCTTACAGACGGCCCCTCCCCCAAATGATTTCACCCTTTTCACATTATAAACATGACAACTGTTCTAGTCACATATTTCAAGTTTAACTTCTTTTCCTTTCCAAAACACTAAGTCGTTATTACAGTTGCAAAATAGCATCCTCCCTACTTCATCGTCCCTAATCAACAGTCTAGTGACACCGTCCTCCCAATTCGCATCCTCCCAACACACAATTTTAAGGCCTTCAGATTTGGTGGATGAGATTGAAGGGGAGGGCAGGAGGGCCGGGGCCGAGGGACAGGGAGGTCGTCACAGCAGCACCCATCCCTCCGGCTTCCCTACATTCCTCGTGATCCTTCTCCCCAAAACCGCTTCCCTAAACCACTTTGTAAAACCTAAGATCAAAACGCAGCCACAACTTTCTCGGCGAGAGAAAGGAAAGAAAAAATAACAATAAAAAACTCTTACACATAAAGCATGAGATGAAACGGAGGGTCCGTCCCAAAGCAAACACGAATATTGCAAATGTGCTTTCCAAAATTCAGGAGGGTTGGGGGAGGTTGGGGAAAAGAGGGAGGAAGAGCAGCAGAGTGGGAGGCGGGAAAGGAACAAAAGAACAACTGGACAAACATAAGAGGTAGCTTTTAGAAAAACAACACCCCCGCCCCAACACAACAAAACAAAGGCTGGATCCCGCCCCGCTCCCCAAAGACCAGCCGTGAAAATAGACCAATCCTGGCAATGAGAATGCACACAGAGGTGAGACCACACAGTTGCAAGGATCCAAACACAGGCCCTCAAACCTCAATGGCCCAGCAACTTGTAAGAAAGGTGGGATTCTCTCCAGAGTGTTTTAGGCTGAAAGGATGGTGGCCACAGGTGACTTCGTGCACCGGCGGAGCCGATAGTGACTCCCTAGTGCCCTTTGGGGACCATGGGACCCCAATGCAACATCCCCTCCCCACCTACGTTTTTTGCCCTCCCCGGCCCTCACATTCAGATCCTGAGTATCAACTCCTCCTGCACAGTTCCTTCCAGCTGGGAGGCTGGTCTCCAGGGGCACGGGGAGGGTCTTGGCCAGCTGAAGTCTATAAAAACAACTGTTAATTTACACAAGAAACAGAAAAGAACACCCTCCCCATTCCTCCAAGCCCCAACCAAAAAAAGAGATACAGAGGTTAAAAAAGCTCATGAGGTCACAAAAAACTGAGGTAATTCAAGTACAATGTGCTAACAGGAGACACAGAAAAGAAGCAAAACATAACACAAGGCCAAAGCGCTTTCAACTCCTCCTCCTCCTGCTGCTCCTCCTCCTCCTTCTGCTCCTCCTTCTCTCCACTGTGGACCGAGGAGCGCTGTGAGTCAGGAATTCTGTGTGACTCTCTCTGGACCTGGCTTTTCTTGCTGAGCTCACTACATCTAGGGTCCTCAGTGTGACTCAACAACTTTCTCCCTTGCCCAGCTTCCGTCACCCCACGGGCTGGGTATCCTCTTCCCCAGGTGTAGGGCCCCCCTAGAGAAAGACATCCACAACCTTCCCTTGGAACATCAGCCCTTTCATGGATTCCTTCTCCTGGGACTGAAGTAGGGCCACGTAGGGACTGTGGTTTGTTTGGTAAAATATTAGGTATTTAGTTGTGATGCTTTTCCATTTTGGAAGCAGCGCAGCAGGAATCTTGCTCACAATGGGCCTGGACTAGGGTGGGGTATTGGATTTGTTTTGTATTCTCAGAAAGCTGAGGGAAGGAGGGGCTCTGAAGTCAGAGGCAGCTGTCCCACTAGGGAACTGGAGAAGGATGGAGACACCGCCAGGTCCCTGAGGGGCTGAGACTCCCCTGGGACTTGGAGGACAGGAGTCAAGGGGAGGCTGGGAACAAAGAGCTGGGGGAGGGGCAGGGGTCCAGAGGCTCTCAGAGACCACCAGGGGACACCCAGATGTGGCAAAGCAGAGGAAAGCAGCAGGTGGGCTGAGTGGTGGGAAGAGAACCAGAGCCCTTCCTCTCCCCAGTCGGCCGCCAGCAAACTAGAGCTGCCACTTTGAGCAGCTAGTGACCCAGCCCAGCCCCATCGGCAGGGGAGCACCCTTCTGGCTCCCCTCCTCCCTGCCTTCATCTTCTGGAGGTCTTGCGGGAGCAAGGCCGGCAGAGACTGTGTGGCTCTGATCAGAGGACCTCTCACCTGCTTTCTAGCCTCCGTTTCTGGACACATAAAGGAAGATCTGGGTGAAGGCAGGAGAAAAATGTGCCACCATTTGAGTGAACAAAATACCCCACCCCATCCCAGAAAATCAGGCAAACCTCCAGCCGGGAGAGGAGGGTGGAGGCCCCCAGAGGAGGGGCAGTGGCTTGGCATCCAGGTCATCTGGAGCCCAGAGAGAATCCAAGGCCAAAAAGCTATCAGGTTTCCTTTTCCTTCTCTTTTTTTTTTTTCTTTTCCTTTTTTATTTTTCATAGTCCTTCCTTCATCTCGATCCAACTCTTCTTTCCTGGCTCCCCGCTCGGCTCCACCGCCGCGGGCCTCCCTTCACACGTAGCACAGGTAGAGGTACGTCTTCTCTATCCTCCAGTCGGGCGGGATCTCCTCGGGCTTGTGGCCCTTCATGTGCTTCTGCATGGAGGAGAGGCTGGGGCAGTACTCTGTGCAGATGGTGCACTGGTAGGGCGAGGCGCCGTTGTGCGTTCTCAGGTGCTTGATCATGGCCGAGTAGTCCCGGGAGCGCTGGTGGCACAGCTTACACTCAAAGGGCTTCTCACCTGAGGGCAGAGGGACAGGGCAGGAGAAAGTGAGGACAGACAGAGGGCGGTGAGGGCACCATGTCACCCTCAGGTGTGCCAGGGAAGCTGGGTTCCTCCTGCTGGGCTTGTTCCAACAGAACTTTCTGGGACAATGAAGGCACCACCCAAGACGGCAGCCACCAGTCACACATGGCTATGAACGAGGCTGGTGCGACTGGAGCTCTACAGTTTTCTGATTTTATTTCATTGTAACTAATTTAAATAGCTACATGTAGCTAGTTGACTACTGGATTGCCCAGTTCCTTGTCTTACTATTCTTAACTATCCTAAGGCCACAGTCTTTTCCCTTTCTAATTAAGAAAATGAGTGTCTAGAAAGAGAAAGGCCCCACGGTCCTCAGGAATGGCTCTTCGAGCCGCAGTTCCATCCAGGGAGCAGGTGGATCGAGACCTTTCAGGGCTACAGATGGTGGGGAGCAGGGGTGGGGGAAAACTGAGGGAACCCAGTCCTTCAAATATGCCGCACCTGGGAACCTCTATCCAGCTAAAGCCTTTTTTTTTTTTGAGATGGTGTCTCACTGTGTTGCCCAGGCTGGAATGCAGTGGTACGATCTCAGCTCACTGTAACCTCTGCCTCCTGGGTTCAAGTGATTCTCCTGCCTCAGCCTCCCAAGTAGCTGGGATCACAGGTGCTGCCACCATGCCTGGCTAATTTTTGTATTTTTAGTAGAGACAGGGTTTCACCATGTTGGCTAGGCTGGGCTTGAACTCCTGACTTCAAGTGATCTGCCTGCCTCGGCCTCCCAAAGTCCTGGGATTATAGACATGAGCCACCGCACCCGGCCTATCCTGCTAAAACTGCTAAGACTTTGCCCTGGACCCTGCCTCCCTCCTGAGGCTAGAATTGGGGGTGGGGTGGGATGGGAAGGATAAAGAACCTGGGAGTACACAGCCACACCCTAGCCTTCTATACCCCAACTTTCCTTCCATAGAGTCCCCTAGAGCTGAGCAGAGGATGTGAGGGAACCTTGTTTCAATACAGTAATTAACTGGCCAGCCATCTCGCTATCAATACTCCTCCGTGCACAGGCCCCAGCAAATAATGAAGTAATGAACAGCCAAAGTGATCTAACCATCGACCAGCTATTTACAATAGTCACTGCCAATACAGTTAATGATCCACCTGCCAGGTCACATCCCCGACAAGGGGCTAAGGAAACCCCAGGGCTCTGGGAAATCCTCTGGGTCACTATAGGTGTCAGCAATGGACACCCAACCCTGTCCTTGGGGGCTCAAACTGGGGCACGAAAACTGAGCTCTGACAACACGTAGCTCTGCTTACTGCTCCTTCTGTCCACCCTTCCCCTCCAAAGGCAATGTACTCTCCTCTAAGCCAGCAGGACCTGCCTGAAGCCACCTCTCCCCCTTCCTCTGGACAGGACAGCTGTCCCCCCCGATCAGAGGGGTTTCTTTGTTTTCCATGTGCCACCACCTCTTACCCTTCTGTAAATCAGCCTTCCCCACAACCAGCAATGTGCTGGTGGTAAATGTTTAACAACTGGCTTTCTAAAAAGCCCTGGTTTGTAGCATCTGCTGATTGCTATGATGTGAATACTCCTACCAGGGCCAATTTTAAGCAACTAAGGTGATGTCGCTGAACTTGAAGTTGTGAAGAAATGTGAAAAATTAGCTTTCACAAGCAAGCTCCAATACTCCACTGCCCCCAACCTCGGACACTGTGGAAGACCCTTCACTTCTTTTGTCTTCTGACCTCAGGAAAAGCAGTGGCCCACATTTCTTTTTCCAATACAAACAATAATGTGGCCGGGCATGGTGGCTCATGCCTGTAATCCCAGCACTTTGGAGGCCGAGACGGGTGAATCACTTGAGGTCAGGAGTTCGAGACCAGATTGACCAACATGGCAAACCCGTCTCTGCTAAAAAAAAAATACAAAATTAGCCGGGCATGGTGGCACACGCCTGTAATCCCAGGTAATCGGGAGGCTGAGGCAGGAGAACTGCTTGAACCCAGGAGGCAGAGATTGCAGTGAGCTGAGATCATGCCACTGCACTCCAGCCTGGGCAACAAGAGCGAAACTCTGTCTAAAAAAAAAAAATGTGAAGGCACTCTGAAATGGTAAAACATCATATGCATATAGGGATTATTAAATATATCTGCTCTTCTAATCTCAGAACCAAACACAATCTAACTTTACAATTTCCCAACTTCCATCATAACCTGATTCAATGCATCCTAATTCTTACTGTAACCCTTGAGTAACATGAAATTCGCTTCATGTTAACTGGACCTAACCTTCGCTTCCAGCTAACTGGACCAACTTACCCCTAATTTAGGACTCATATACAGACATCATTTTGCATGTCACCTCTGAACTATTGGTATAACTGCCTGGAGAGCTGGTGGGGGCTCATTGGAAAGTGTGCTGGGATTGATTAGTAATGTCTGCCTTGGCCTTGACTGGTGGCCCTCAGGCCACCTTGACTGGGGTGTGGTGGCCCTCAGGTCATCATACCAGCCCTTAATAGAACCTCTTCTACTCTTTGATTCAGCCTGGGATCATCCTCACTTAGGCTTCTCCAGGAGACCATCTGCTTCCCACCTCCACCCAGGTCCCAGAGCCAGCTCAGACCCCTCCCTGGCCTTCAGTACCTGTGTGCACCCTATAGTGCGTCTCCAGCTGATGCTTGAGGCTGAACTTCTTGCCACAGCCATTGCACTCATAGGGTTTCTCACCCGTGTGGATGCGTTTGTGGCTCTTGAGTGTGCTCTCATCCCGGAAGCAGCTGCCACAGAACTCACACTCGTAGGGGTGGTCGCCTGTGGAGACAAGCGGCTGGATCAGGCATTTGCCTCTCCCTGCCCCCTCCTCAGGGTACAGTAGGGCACATTCAGTGCATGAGAAGGATGAGACGGCCTGTATTCACCACCTCCAAAGACAACTTAGGGATCCACGGCCACACCTCCATTGAATAAACAAGCAATACCTGTGTTCACACATGTCCACACTTTACTGTGGGCCCATGATCATCTGCGGGGCAAGGGCCAGTCCTGGGAAAAGAGAGCCCATTTGGTTCAGGGATGGACAGCAGTCCCCAGAAAGCAAGCCCTCATGTGGATACATGAGACCTCACCATCTTGCTTCTCAGATGACCTCTTCTCCCCTTCCTTTAGGTTAAGAGTGAAAGTCACTCCAGCCTGACTCCTCAACCTTCAAAGAAATCTCTCCAGTTCTGGGAACTTCACATTGTTCCCCAAATACCTTCTACAGTCCCCAATTTCCTTCCTCCACAGTCTCACATAGCTGTTTCCTCTGCTCGACTTCTTCTTTTCTCCCTGGTGAACTCCTAATCATCCTTCAAAGCCCAGCTCATGATACCCCTGTGTGGACGCTTCCCTTTGATTCCCCAGGCAGAAGGAATCACACTTTCCTCTGTGTCCCCAAAGAGAAGAAATGCCCAGAATTTTGTTCTTTTATTCGTGTGGTATAATTTTTATCACACTTTCGCATTAAAATGGCCCACATTTCCTGAGCACTCAGATGTGTGATGTGATCGCATAAGGTGATCATGGCAACAACCTTAAAGAAAGATATTATTCTCATTTTATAGTTGAGAAAAAATGAGATGCTTGGAGATGCTTCAACATCATCCCTGAGGTGAAATAGCAAGTGAAGAGCTGAGCTGGGATTCAGGTTTGGGTCTGGCCCTGGAGTCAGGGTACCATATACTTGTCAGCTTGCTGACACTGTGCTGTATCTACTGGCTTGCCCACCCTACCTCCAGCATGGAAGCACCACCAGGATAAGAAGCAAGCCTCACCCATCTTTGGAGTCTCAGTGCATCGCACAGGGAGGATCCCGAACAGACTCAGGAAATGGTGGATCCATGAAGCTTGGAGAGAACTGCCTTTTCTTTTTTGAGGATCCCACTCTGAAATCTCCAGAGCATGAGAGGTTGGGGTGTGGAGAATAACCATCTTGCCTTTCATACCCAAAGTGGGGGACTTGGGGGATGAAAGGTGAGGACTCCAGCTACTTATTTATTACAGGAGTGAAGGCACAGACAATAAAGATAGATTGATCACCCCAGACTTTGTTCATGAATATTTAAATATCGCTGATTCGTCTTGTCACTGTAATTACAATTTCTCTGGGCTGCATCTCCAACAACCACAGTTTATGGTAAAGAATGGCCCACTGTATTTCACTTGTCCCTCTGCAGATGTGCGGGGCTGCCAACCGTGTAATGTCCTCTGCATTTCATACATTTTCTTCAGCTGCTGAAGGTTTAAGTCATCCACAATGACCTACGTTTTTTCATTATCCCCATGTCAAACTGCGCTCGTGCCTGGGCATAAATTGTCCTTCTCATTATAGACTCGCATGCCTGTGCCTTCACTTCCTTTTTAAAATGATATTTTACTCTCTCCTCTCTCTCCCCTCCTCGGGCCACTAACCAAAGCTCCCCCTCCCAAAGCTAGGCCCCTGTACCCACATAAATTCTCATCTCTTCTGATGGCTCTGAGGGGTTTTTAGTAAGGCTCTGTGGGGAGCAGATGCTGGGATCTGATCAGTGACTTTCTCACGGGTGAAAGATTTGCAAGAAGCACCCATGCCATGTGAGGGGCACTTCCATCAAGTAATCAGATGGAAGAAGCTCAAAGAGTGGCATCGTGCCTTGACACCAGTTCACCCCAATCTATGGGGTGCTGCACTGGCTCAGAGGTTCAGCCAGTGAGTCCCTCACCTGCAGATCTGGGGATGGGCCAAGGCCTGGGGTTCTCAAAATTGCTACCTGCCCATCCTCACTGTCAAGAGCCATGGGACTTCCTGGCCCCTAGTCCCATCAAACTCAAGGGGAGTGGAGGCCTGTGCAAACCCTGGTACTAATTAGTTGTGTGTCTAACACAGTAAGGGCCAGTCTGTGTGCGTGCGCCTGAACCCACTCTCTCTGTGTGTCTGCACTCATAGTCCCGTCTGGTCTGACATCCAACTCCCCCTCCTTACTGAATCGGCAACGATTACGACTTTAATCAAAGATTCAGTATCCTCATTAAGGTATAAATAAATAAATAAAGCCAAGGCCACGTGAGACTTCAGCCGGAGCCGGTAATTAAAACGTACATCGGCAGTCGCCCAGCTGGGGGGAAGGCAGCGGTGGGGGGGTGGGGGGCAGCTGCCTGTGCCTTTCACCTCCAGAGGGGTCCCTAACAATTTAAAAAAACAAGGGGTTAAGACAGAGGAGTTTGTTTGATCCAATTTTTATGAATTTAATTATGAAGTGGAGCACATGTTAAATGAGTTTAAATAGGAAATCTCCTGAGTCTGCCCAGGGAAAAGAATAAAAAGAATTTAGAAGGAAAAATAACAACAAAAAAAGAAACAGAAAGAAAGAAAAAGAAAAGTCACCAACACACACGTATCCCCATCCCGATTTGGGAGCACGGTGCGCACCTGGCGTGAAATCCTCACCCTGAGAGCTGATTGTGTCAGTGTGGCCATAATGTACACAAAACTGGCTGCAGAACTCAAAATCCAATTTGTGGTATGTTGATTAACTCTGTAGCCTCTTTAATGAGCTTGACATTAAGTGCAGGACAAACGAGACTAATTAGAGCCCCCTCCAGCCTGCCCGGTGCACCTGTGACCCCCCCACTCCCCCCCCCAAATCTGTCCTTACTTGATGCTTTCTCTGGCACTGGCCAAGCCCAGTGTCTGTCGTCCTCCCCACCCCAGCCCCATCCTGCTGGCTCTTCAGGCCCCTCCCTCCTGGCCCCTCCCTTCAGCACAGCTGAGAGTTTATTATATGATGAGCCGTGTGAATCAGGGATCCATCAATGCCAAGAGCACGGCTGGACTAACCTACCAAACACAGCTGCTGATGCTAAACACCCGGCCCCAGCAGCAAATGGGCCAAGAACAACGGAATATTAATGAGGCATTGTGTGTGGGGTGTGCACAGCCTGTATATGGCTTGTGTGCACAGTGCCTCACTGGTGTGAAAATTGATGGGTGTTTCTCTGTGTGTGCACAGGCAGCACACATGCTCTGTGTTTCCTAGAATAAGCAAGAGGCTTCTCCCTAACTCTGGAAACAGCCCCTCCCTGTGGATCCGAGCCATGACTGACACAAGGGCATGTGACATTTTCAGATCTGAGCTCTGAGAAGGTGGCATGGACAGAGCAGGGCATATCCCGGGTGGATTTAGTAGGACAGATCATTCAAGTCACATGAAGCCAACTGGTTGGACCCAGTGGCATGCTCCGAAGTGGCTGAAAGGTATCTAGCCATCTTTCATAAGACCAAATGAACCTGGGGACCCGCTGAAGGAGGCGTTCATAGGAAGGTGCATATTCTTGCAGGGGAGACGCTTATGCAGTCGCTGCAACATCCCACCCTCCTGGGCCCTTCTTATTGAGCCCACCCCTCTGGGCCCTACCTCCATCCTATCCCAGAAATTTTAAGTAGTTCTGTGCAAATCCGGTGGTGCTAAGGCAATGTGCTCCCCTGAACAAAATGGCATCCAGAAGTGAGAGCCAGGAAGGCTCCTTAACGAGGATACCTACTGCTGGCAGGCCAGGCCAGCTCGGTCCCTGAGAAGTAAAGCTCTTCCCTTATTTAGCAGAGCCTGCCACCCATGCAAGACCTGGTCTGCATACTCAATCTCTGAGCTGTGACAAGACTCTCAAACTGAGGAGAGGGCCTACAGTAGTTTCTTTACATGGCATGCAGAGGTTTTTATGAGTATATGCTCTGTTACATACCCAGATAGAGACCTGACCCCAACCCTCCCTACAAACACAGCACACAAAGGCAGAGACACATGCAGACTCAGAAATGCGCATTCCTTTACCCAGGTACAGTCAGCAGAGCCCCAGTTTCGTCATAGAGAAAATAAGGAATTTAAGTCATCCACTCCCCTGTTAGGGAAGACCGGGGGCTGCTGCAGGAAAGCAAATGCCTCTCGGCCATCAGGGACCAAGTGTCCCCATCCCTGAAGCCCTAGAGGCTGGTGGCAGGGAATGGCCAGCCTCTGGGCACCTGGCCCAGCCTCCTTAGCTCATAACCCCTCCCTTGTCCCATCACCTGGAACTGGCTGAGAAGCAATATTTCATTGCTCATCGTTTAAATGCCCTCCTCGTCTTCCCTAAACAGGGTTAAGGTCCGAGTATAGGCCTTTGTTATTGTGGGGAAAGTAGGACTTCTTCAACTTGCCCTCAGAAGCCCGAAGCTGACTTCAGAAATCTGTATGGATGGCGTGGATGGGGCATCAAGAGTGGTGGGAGGCAGGGCACACACTGTTAAGAGACCCAGCAGGTCAGTTTTTCTCAAAATTCATTTTGGGTCTACCTACATGAGAATCCCTTGGGAATACGTATTAATAATGCTGCATCTGGGAACCCACCCTGGCCCCACGGAATAAAAGTTTCTGAGAGTGGGACCCAAGAGCCTGCCGTTTTAATGAGCATCCTGTGTTGAACATGGAAAGACTCTGAACCAACGGTCCGCAGGAGGGGACTGGGAGAACTGTCCACATTTACCTGCATGCCAGGCAGCCCCTGCATGTCCAAGCCTTGAGCAGAAGGACTGAGGGCTGACTCAGCCCACCACCTCCACTTTACGTCCTTGGAGGTAAATATAGAGACTGGCTCCCAGACACCCCATCCACCCATCAGCTTCACTGACCTACCTGTATGTGAGCGCAGGTGGCGTTTGAGGGCCGTGTGGCTGGGGAAGGTGCGGTTGCACTCGCTGCAGATGTAGCTGCGCACGCCCGCGTGGACCTCCATGTGCTGCTGCAGTGCGCTCTGCGCCTGGAAGCGCTTCCCACACAGCAGACAGAAGACGGCCATGTCAGTGCCTGTGGGAGACAGGAAAAGGGGCGCCTCAGAAGGCTGGGAACACAAGGCGCATTCTTTACCCATCTGGAGTGAGAGCCAGTGTCGGGACTCACACTTCCAAATCCCCATGCTCAGGGGCAAATCCAGAGTTGGCCCAGGCTGTGCAACACTGAGCACCCAGTATGTGGCCCCAGGGATGGGCAAAATCGACGTCGTTCCTGAGCTCTAGAAGCTAAAGTCTAGTGGGAGAAGGATAGACACTGATCAAATACATCACAACAGCAAGGGTAATGTGCAACTGTGTCAGGCAGTATGTAAAAGGCAGCAAAATACTAAGAGGGCACATACCAGATGGACTTCGCAGAGTCTGCGGCAAAAAGTGGGGGAGGCAAGGTAGACCTTGTGAGGACAAACAATGACAAAGATACCACGGGCCAGCTATTGTTCTAACGTAACTAATATAAATCCAAAACTCCAAAAGCTAGCCTCTGTTATCCTCACCCCTTAGACAAGGAGACTGAGGCACAGAGAGATTAACTACTTAGGCCAAAATCCCATAGAGCAGCAGTCCCCAACATTTTTGGCACCAGGGACTGGTTTCATGGAAGGCAATTTTTCCACGTATGGTGGGGGGATGGTTTCGGGATGATTCAAGCGCATTAATCATTAGACTCTCTTAAGGAGCGTGCAACCTGGATCCTATGAATGCACAGTTCCCTATAAGGTTTATGCTCCTATGAGAATCTAATGTCACCACTAATATGACAGGAGGTGGAGCTCAGCTTCACTCGCTCGCCTCCTGCTGTGCAGCCCAGCTCCTCACAGGCCATGGCCCAGGGTTTGGGGACTCCTGCCATAGAGTTCATAAGTGGCAGGGCTGGGATTCACACCCACGCACCCTAGATTTTAATGCTTTCCCAAGACTAGATACAGACCCTGTTTTTGTTTTTTGATTTTTTTTTTTTTAACTACTTCTCCACTCACTAAAGCATGAATCTTAGGTTCATTCACTCAACAAGTATTACTTGGTGCCTTCTACAAGTAACGTTGTCTTTTTGGCACTGGGGATATAACCATGGAAGAGCATGCCAAGTGCCTGCTCTCATGACCGACGTTACCCTGAACACCAGGTGAATGGCGGAATCCGGAAGGTGAATGGCGGAATCCGGAAGATGGAATAGTGTCTGTGAACACTCTGGGCCAAAGGGAAACGTGGCCGGTGGGAGGATCAGACAGAGGAATGGTGCAGTGCAGCTAGGGAAGAAGAAGAGGAGGCTAAAGGGAAAGGTAAGGGCCAGGCCATGCAGGGTCTTGCAAACCACGTCAAGAGCTTTAGGTTCCATCCCAAACCCGACGGGCAACTGTCAAATGATTGAAAGCTAGCGAGTGATGTGAGATTTTCATTTAATTCTAACTGGCTGTTCACTCCCACAGTACCCCACAAATATAGGCTGCTATTTTCTGTTTGTTACCAACCCCTTTCTGATGCTGCTCTGGAGCCATGGCCGAAATTTCCAGCTACAGCACCACGGGAGGAAGTATCTGACCTTGTGTGTGAGTCCTAACTGGCAGCTCGGTGCCCAGCCTTTTGGGCTCTGTTTTCCTGAGCACAGGAGCCCCCTGGCAGGCCCATCTGCACGTCTCTGTGCTGGTACCTGGGCAATATCACCTGCACTTGGCCCCACACTGCTGTCCCCTGTGTGGGGGGCACAAGCAGGAAAGGTAAGTAGGCCTAGCATCTGTCAGCCCAGTCCAGAGTGGGTGGGGGCAGGGGGCAAAGCTTTGGCTGCTGGAAGCCATGGGCTGCTCAGCATGGAATTGAGAAGTGTCTGGTAGAAGGTAGGGGGAAGAGAAGGGATGGCACGAAGAACCTCCCTGCCTTCCTGGCCCATCGATAGAGATAGCAAGGAGAGGCCTGGTCCTCACCACCTCTGTCCCATTCATTGCTGGGTTAGGATGGACTAGTAGGCAGGCAAGGTCCACCTCTCACGGTCCCCTACACTTCTGTGCCCCTCATACTCACCCTGATACCCCTTCCCTTTGCAGACACTGAGGTCTAAGCACCTGGAGCCACACCCCATCTCACCAGCAATCAGGAAGGCTGAGCAGGGAATGGAAATAGCAGCCAGCACTGGATTTTTCTCCTGGCTGTCAAAAAGCAGGAAGGAAGGGGAGCAAAACTAGGTGTTATGCTAGGTGCTTTTTCTATGTTGTCAGCTCATTTAAAACTTACAATCCTACAAGGCAGGCATTCTTATCCCCCTTTTTACTAGCGGAAAACAGAGAGATTAAATAACTTGCCTAAGATCACACAGAAAGAGGCAGAGTTGGGATCTGAAAATATCTCGGTGTGTCTGCTTTCAGAAACCACGGGGTTGGGCTCAATGCTGCCTCTGGGGCCAGCTGCCCACCTGTCTGTGCTTACCCTGGAAGAGGCCCGGTAAGAACAGTACAGAGCACCCCTGCCTCTAGTACAGCTCCAGCAGTGGCTAGAAAGCCCCTGGCCAGGAGTAGGCGGATGCTGGGGCTGGGTCACAAGACATAGTTCTCTGAGGCCGTGCAATCCCACTGGGAGCCACCAAGATCTCTCGGAAATGTTGAGTAGGGTATTCAGCTCCACTTGCTGGAGGGGGACATAATGAGAGATGTATCTTTCCGGACAGAAGCAGTGCCAAGAGTTGACAGTGAGTCTTCAATATCCCTCCCTGCTTGGCCTACATACAAAGGAGCACAGTGCATCTGCAATGCGTTCTGTGCCCAGTGGCCCCCAGTTCTTCACCTTGAGGGCCCCCAGCATCTACCCCCTCTCTGCCCTTAACCCCCACCCCACAGAGAGCCCAAATTAAGCCAGGTGTTCAAATAGCTACCTTAAATCAGTAGGATTGAGTAGGCTTTGTGGGTCAGCCATGCCCTTTAAGAGCCAAGACTCCTCCTTATGCATCCTCTGAGATCCCCTGCATGGAAGGAACCTGGGCAGACGAACATGAATGGCATTGCCAGTGGGACATCTCAGCCTACACAGCCAGACCCAGAAGTGCTCTGAGGGTCAATATCACCCAGCAAGGCAGACCACGGCACTCTGCCCCCTTGGTCTTCCCAAGACCCCTAGATGCTGCCCCACTATGCTGTCCCTACTTCTCAGGGTGGCCTGAACCCACTTCATGTCCATTCAGCCAACTCACTGAGCCACTGCCAAGTGCAGGCACTGTGCTAGGTGACCAGGGGCAGGCTGAGGCTGAGCAGAGAAACTGGGTCCCAGACTAGTGGGAGACGCTGAGTTAACAACCACCCGGAGGGTAAGGCAGGGCGACTCCAAGAGCTTCTGAGATTTTGAGTTAGGCTTTTACAAGTAAAGAGTGTTTGAGAAGCAAAGGACAAGAAATTGGGACACATGTGCCAGGCTAAGGAGAGAGACACCGCTGGCAAATGTCAGAGCAGATGGGGCCAAGGTCAGGCCCTGGGGATGGAGACAAGCTGGGAGATGGGAGTCAGACCATAGAGGGCTGTACATGCCAGGTAGGACAGACTGGACTTGATTCTACAGGCAATGCAGTGCCAGGAAAGGACCAAGGGTTGGTAGGATCCTAATGTCTGGGTCCCCCTCCAATTCCTTTTTTGAAACCCTAACCCCTAAGGTAATGGTATTAGGAAATGGGGCCTGGGGGGAGATAATTAGGTAATTAAAATGGGATGAGTATCCTTGTAAAAGAGGGCCCAGAGAGCTAGCTAGCCCCTTCCACCATGTGAGGACACAGAGAAGTCAGCAGTCTGCAACCAGGAGGAGGACCCTCACCAGAACTCGAACATGCTGGCACCCTGATCACAGACTTCCTAGCCTCCAGAGCTGTGAGAAATGCATGTCTGCTGTGTATAAGCCACCTAGTCTGTGGCAGTTTGTTATAGCAGCCTGAATTGACTAAGACGAGTGGTGCTAGCACGATCTGACCTGTGTTTGAAGCCAGTGACTCTGGACACACATAGGGACTAACAGCAGCAGCAAGTGGTGAGAAGCAGCGAGAGGGCTGATGCGCCACTGGAGGAGGGTGGGGACCAGACCAGGGCAGAGGCTGCCAGGGCAAGGGGAGAGAGAAAATCCTAGAAAGGTGGGACAGCCAGGGAGGAGTGGCATGCACAAAATCCCAGATGGCAAGTTCCACACCTGGCCAACAGGCTGGAAGTTATATGGTCACCACCTAGAAAGGAAATGCCATGATGTCCCTACAGTGGTCTCTCTCCCTTTCCTGGGACATTCCACAAGGTGCAGGGGTGCTCCTTGGCCATGTATCCACCAACCAAGCCTCCCAGGGGAAGAAAGGGGGGCCTCTGAGACTCAGCATCCACTTCCCCCATTCTTCTGCTTGGAGACTAACAGCTATGATGATAGAAAAGTATTTAAAAAAAAAAAAAAGGGAAAGGGCGGGGGAGATGTGGATGAGACACAAGAAAAGCTATTGGTGCATGTGAGTTAAAAATCTAGAGACTAGATGTGAGTTATTAAACAATTTGCTGCTGTTTCAGCCTAGCTGATTGTTCGCATGTATGATGAGTCAGGGCAGATTCTATTACACTGGGAGATTAAGCAAATAAATGCTAGCTTTTGGAAACACATTAAAATGTGGGACTATGGAAATAAAATTATCTCGAAAATTGTATTAGCAATTCATTAGCTGCAGTGAGATGTGTGGCGGGGCAGGGGGGCCTGGAAGCACTGGAACACTCTGCTCCCTTCAACACCTGGGTTCTGTCCTCTGCTATGGAGAGACGTCAGGCCTGGTACCAGTGGGGAGAGGGGAGGTGCTCTGACTGGATGAACAAGACCCTCAGAAGTCAGATGGTCCGCATGACACAGGGGAAGGAAAAGAAGCATAGGGGTCCCAGCTCTCCCATATACTTGCCTTGTGGCCCTGAGCAAGTCATTTTACTTCGCCAGATCCATTTGCTCCTTATCCACCATATTGTGGTCATCAAGAACATCGAATGAGACATCCACACGAAAAAACTTTATAATGTGGTCACAGAG